ACATAATAGCGGTACAGGAGCCAAATAGTGCTCAGACGAACAAAGACCCTAGATGGATGGTGGACGAAGAGGGTGGCACGGCCCTTTATTGCAGAAATAGAAGATGTGGGGTAGAGAAACACTTCATAAAAAAAGGATACACAAAACTGCGCATGAAACAACTATCATTGTATAATTGTTACATATCTCCAAATCTGAGCCTGGATAATTATAAGGAATACGTTGAGAGCCTGCTGGACGACATACAGAGGGAGGACAAGGACATACGTATACTAGGAGACTTCAATTCAAAGTCGGCATTATGAGGATCAAACAAACAGGATAAAAGGGGGACTTCTTAACTGATTGCATAGTGGCTCGGCTCAGGGCTTCGTTACTCTAAACAGAGGCACGACCCCAACGTTTACAAGGGGAGAACAAAACTCCATAATAGACATCTCATTCACCTCCAGCGAGCTGGCGAGTAGAGTGAAGAAATGGATGGTCCTAGAGGAGCTGGAGTCGCTCAGCCTTCACAGGTACATTATATTGGAACTGGAGCTGAAGAAGAAACCAAAAAAAGAACATTGCACGGGCAGCAGGGTAATAAACAAAGAGTCCTTCAGAAATGTGGTAAGATTAACGATGAATGGACAGATGAATTCGGTACAAGAAGTAGTCAAAAAAATCAAAGACGCCCAAACAATTAGCAGCTCAAATGCAGAGGCCCCCGCTAAACGGATGCCTGCGTGGTGGAACGAAGAAATAGACGAAGGAAGGCGGCAATGTCTGGAAGCCAGGAGGAAACTCACGAGAAAGAGAGGAGGCAACGGGGCACCAGAAGAAGTTGAGGGGTTGGAAGCAGCATACAAAGAATTACGGAGATACTTCAGGAAGAAAATACACAGGTCCAAGATCAAGAAGTATAACGAGCTGTGCAGTGAGCTGGAAAATGATCCCTTTGGACAGGGGTACAAAATAGTAACGAATAGGTTCAGAAATATGATGACACCGTACGAGATTTCCGAGGAAAGGAAACTCAAAATTGCCAAAGAATTATTTCCGGAGACAAGGGACAGGCCAATGGGAGGTAAGGTAGAGGTAAACGAGCCGCTGGCATTCACGAACAGGGAGCTGCAGGGCGCTGCGGAGAAACTAAAGACGGGCAAGGCGCCAGGGATAGATCGAATCTTGGCCGAAAGCATACTTATTGCTGTGGAGGAGGTTCCACAGGTCATGCTAGAAATAAATAATGATATTCTCAAAAAAGCAGAGATACCGGAAGAGTGGAGAAAGACGAAAGTCTGTCTTATCCCCAAGGGAGACGCAGCCCAAGGGAAGTATAGTATGTATGCCTCATAGATACAGCGGACAAACTCTTTGAGCACCTAGTGAAGAATAGGATGGAGAAGGAAATGGAGGACATGCATCTGATTGCGGAAAACCAATTTGGTTTCCGCGAGGGAAGGTCCATGGTTGAGGCAGTACAAAAGGTGATCTAGCAAGTTAATCGGAGAGAGTGGAAATGGGGGGCGATTGTCTTTATTGACGTGAAGAATGCCTTCAACACGGCAAAATGGAGCCACATAGTAGAAGCTCTGGAGGATATGGGCATAAGCGAATACCTGGTTAACCTAGTGAAGAGCTACCTATCCAGAAGAACAATTATGGTAGGAAAAAAGGAGCTACCGGTGACTCAGGGGGTTCCACAAGGTTCAGTACTGGGACCACTGCTCTGGAATACTGTTTACAATGGCGTACTGGAACTTGATCTAGGGGTAAATTGTAGTCAGGTTGCCTACGCGGATGATTTGGCGATCACCGTGAACGCGCAGGATGACGAAGAGCTTATGTGGGCTGTGAATACAGCATTAATTAAAGTAACAAATTGGATGGAGAATAAAGGCCTAGAAATTGCGCCAGAGAAAACGGAGGCTATCATTATTGAAGGCCCCCGGAAGAGGGAGGAGATAACCTTCGGCATAGGCGGGATTGAGATTACACCAAAGAAGACGGTAAAATACCTGGGAATGCACTTGGACGACAAACTAATCTTCAACGAACATGTGAAGAGGACGTGTGAAAAAGCCAGTAGACAAGTGGCGGCGCTCACCAGGATTCTACCTAATATAAGGGGCCCCGAATACTAGAACAGGAGGATACTATACGGGGTGGTAGCCTCGGTAGCCCTGTATGGAACACCAGTGTGAGGACAAGTAATAGGAAACAGAAAATATAGTGGAATGCTAATCTCCCTACAAAGAAGGATGCTCCTGAGGGTGACATGTGCGTACAGGACATCAGCACAAGCGGTGGGAGTAATCGCAGGGACGAGATGATCCGGCAAAGGTGCGAATTGGCAGCACTGGAAAGAGTCACGGAGGAAGCGAAAAGGGAAGCCAGGGAGAACACGATTGCCAGGTGACAATCCAAGTGGGACGCTGAAACAAGCAAAGGACAATAGACAAAAAAGCTGATACCAGATACAAAAGCATGGATGGAATGCAAACATAAGATGATAGATATGCTTTTACACTACACAAGTACTGACGGGGCACAGAAGCTACAAAGCATATACAAAGAAGATAGGAAAAACATTAACAGACGAATGTGACTATTGTGAAGGAATAGACGATACGGAACACACGATCTCTGTATGCGATAGATGGACAACCCAGAGAATGGCAATAGACATAACTATGGGAGAAAGAGTGGATACGAAGGGCTTGGTTAAGTGGATGATAGAATGCAAGGAAAATTGGGATCACGGAGAGGACTATATTAAAGAAATAATGAGTAAAAAAGCCGAGGAAGAAAGGCTAAGAAGGTAGACAGCACTTACAGCCCGACGCTATGTCTGGACAGACGGTCCCGGGCTGTAGGAAGCGCGAGGTGGTTTTAGTGAGTACACATTAGGAATCAGGATTCTCACACTATTGGTGAAGGGCAGAACCTGTAAACATTGTGCATAAAGCATTTCCACCCGTCAAAAAAAAAAGGTTAGGTTAGGTTATATAAGGTTAGGTTGGGTTGGGTTAGGTTAGGTTAGGTTAGGTTAGGTTAGGTTAGGTTAGGTTAGGTTAGGTTAGGTTAGGTTAGGTTAGGTTAGGTTAGGTTAGGTTAGGTTAGGTTAGGTTAGGTTAGGTTAGGTTAGGTTTGGTTACGTTAGTATAGGTTAGGTTAGGTAGGGTTAAGTTAGGTTAGGTTCCACTCCTAGGAGCTGTAAGACCTTACCGTTGGTGGAGTGGTTCAGTAGCTACCTATTCTCGGCCCCACAGGTACGGGAATGGGTAGTGAAGCCGACAAACAGCTCAAAATGGTCGGTGGGGCACTGGTGAAGTCACTGATGTCAACTAGGTGACACCAACAAATACCAGTAGAAGAACACCTGCCCAACTAACAAAAGCAAACCGGCAAGTCCGACCCTGAACAGGGAGGGCGAATGGCGAGTTCCCGGCGCCATAAAACGGTGACCAAGTTGACTAAGGGAAAAAAAACCCCGACATAAAAACCAAAACGGAATCTAAACCTTGGAACTGCGGTGAGGGATACATGATTATGAATACTCAAAATAATATATACAATATTCTGTTAATAGAAAGTACCGATGGCGAACAGTCCGGAGGAAATGTTGATGAAACTGAAGAAGCAAAAACAGCAAACAAGTTAGTAGGGAGAGAAATTGCAGATATAGAAGGAAAACCTAAAGGCCATAGCAGACTAAATTTGTACAGTAAATTACAGAGATGTAACTCACTAACCGAGACACCGAAAATAAAAAGACTCGACACATCAATGGAGGCAAATTCATCCTACATCGACCCATACAAACAAAAGGAAAGCCCGGAGCCTACACGCTAATGGAAGCCATAGCCAGGAACCGGACTCTAGTAGCAGAACTAGAAAAACTAACATCTGATTTTCCCAACACTCAAAAACACATCAAGGAGGTTGCAGTAAAAATGAAAACGAATGCGGAAGTATTTAACAGGAAAATGGTGCAAGATTGGTTGGAAAACAAGAGATGGGAACCGATAGATAAAAATACCTATGATGCCGATACCCAAACTACAACTACATTCCAAGAGATGGAAACGCAAACACTACCATGGTGTATCATCCAAAAAACACACTGGACACACTTGAGGGCATCGAGACTTTGGAGACCTGGAAGATGGTAGAATATAAAGAATGGAACAATAAACTGTACAAAAATACAGAAATAACAATCGGTAACCCCCTAAAAGCAGAAGAAGAAGCGGTAAAAGCTGTCTTCGTAGAACCAAGCGATCCAGAAATGGAACGAAGTATACAAAAATTATACAAGGAAAAATAACCCGAACTGGCTAAACTTGATGGCGAATTTGAAATAATAGACCAAATTACTAAAATAAGAACAAAGGAACCATGTGGAATTATAAATAAAAAAAATCATCAAAATCCAAATTGATGGCACAGATGAAAATCTCTGGAGTAACCTAGATAAACTAAAGGAAGAGACCAGGCTAGATAAAAACGTAGTGATACACCATTTAAACGGCATGCCACTAGAGAGGCTTAGAAAAATGGTAGAAACTATCTACCATAGTACTGAATCCATGATTACCATAAATATACTAACCAACAGAATACATACAATTATTCCTAAGAAAGAAACCACACCAAAAGAAAGGGACAGATACGGATTGATTGTAGACGGAAAAGATAAAACTTTTAAAGACGTACTGTGCAATATTAACCTAGTTAAAAGTAATTCGGCAAGAAAGGCATTTCGAAGCCTTAAAAGCACACGGCATGGGAAACTTATAATAATAACAGACAAAAATGATACTGCATTTGAAGAAATAACGAAACTAGTCAAAGATAATGGAGACTTCAACACAAAAATAGCAGGCCTTGGCCAGAACAAGGAAACACTATTCCTAAGGGGCATGGACAACAAAAAGAAGACATAATTAAAGCCATTAAGGAAATAACAGAATGGGAAGATAAAACAGACAAAATAGGCGAATTAAGACTTAATGCATTCAATACCCAGTAACAGTGACAATGAACAAAGGTCAGCGAAAAAACTACTAACAGAAGAATATCTAACGATCGGCGTAGTTAGATGCACTATCGAAAAAAGAATAAGGATGAGCCAGTGTTACAGATGCTGGTCATACAACCACAGAATTAATGAATGCAACGGCCCAGACAGGTCAAAACACTGTTATAAATGCGGCGAAAACGACCATATGGCTAAATATTGTGAAAATTTAGAAAAATGTCCCATATGTAACACAATAGGACACAAAGCAGGAACACTAAAATGCAAAGCCTTTAGGACAGCATTAACAAGAGCGAGAAACGAGGAGAAGAAAAAACAATTACAGACAACGAAGAGGATAGCCCATTAACGGACCAACAAATGGACACAGTACAGGAGAGAGCGAACCTGGAAGTTCCATCTGAGCAGAACCCATTATAATACTATGTTCAAGTTCCTTCAAATAAATCTAGACCGAAGATAATAGCGCACGATCTGTTAGCCCAAGCCATATTCGAAAAAAAAAATAAACTTAGTCATTGGACAAGAGCCAAATAAGAAACTTAGTAAGAACGAATTCTGTGATAAATACTGTGATAGCTTCATACGAGCCAAAAATGTATCCGTCCTAAATTACTTTAGCGGCAGGGGTTTTGTGTGTATAGAATTAAAAGATTTTTGTTTTTTCATGTTACTTCTCACCTAACAAGGACAGTATGGAATTCGAGACTCTACTATATGATATACAAAAACATTTAAAGAAATTAAGAAATAAAGAAGCCATACTAGGATGAGATTTTAATGCAAAGTCAGTGATATTTGGATCCAAAACAGTCAACCAAAGAGGGCGTATAATAGAGGACTGGATAGAGGAAAACAGGAAAATCAAGGGAACATACCCACTTTCATGAACGCTAATGGAAATTCCATCATTGACATAACGCTAGCAATGGAAAACATGAGTAAAAAAATTATCAATTGGAGAGTCGATGAGGGGGGAAAGTGGACAGCCCCAATAATGATAGACGTAAAGAAAGCATTTAACACGGCGATATGGAGCATCATAGTGGATAAACTAAGGAAGGCCGGCATAAGTAATTACTTAGTAAACATAATTACGGACTATCTAACAGGTCGAACCATAAATATCGGAAAAGACGAACGGATGGGAATTACAATGGGAGTCCCACAGGGATCAGTTCTGGGCCCTACACTGTGGAACGTACTATACAACGACGTACTTAAACTGGATACGGAAGACGGTTGCCGAGTAATTGCTTATGCAGACGACCTGGCGTTAACGGTGGCCGCAGAAAGCCCCTATAGTCTAATACAAAAGGCAAATTTCTCTCTAGGGATGATAAGCGCGTGGATGGAGGAACATAAGCTGCAACTGGCACCAAAAAAGACGGTAGCTGTTATCATGAACGGAGGAAGAGGTCGAAATTGGATAACTTTCAGGCTAAATGAAGTGGACATAGTGCCGGCGAAAAATGTAAAATACCTCGGGATCTGGCTGGACAGTAGAAGAAGTTTCAAGGAGCATGTCAAAAGAACGGTGAACAAGACGGGAAAGACGATCGCGGCACTAAACAAAATTCTGCCACACATAAGAGGCCCTAGGTACAATCAACGGCTAGTACTAAATGGTGTCGTACAATCGATTGTATTATACGGTGCACCTATCTGGAGCGAGGTCTTGAGGTATCAAAAATACAGCAATATGCTTATCGGCGTACAACGAAGAAGCCTATTGAGGGTTATTCAAGCATATAGAACATCATCCAGCGAAGCAGCTCAGGCGGTGGCAGGAATACCTCCGATAGACCTGTTGGTGAAAGAAAGGCAGAGAATCCATCTTGGTGGGGGAACGGAGGGCGAAAAAAGGGCTGCAAAACAGGTTACAATAGAACAATGGCAAGAGAGATGGAGCGGGCAACAAACTAAGGCGGTATGGACCAGGCGAATAATGCCAGAATTAAGCGTATGGTTAGGATGTAGCCATAAAACGACAAGGTACTACCTCACCCAGTTTCTGACAGGGTGTCTTACCCTGGGTTTATAAGGCTTGACATTTACTGCCTTCGATCATGGTGGACTGTATGACTATGTTTGAAATATGTTACCTGGGGTGAAGGCCTTATGCTCCACCCTGTAGCCTATGGAAGATACTCTCGAAGTTCTGGTTGATGCCCTGATTTTATTCAAATGAAACTATCACCTTCTATTTGAATTTGATATATTCACGGCTTACTGATTCCACATTTTACATATTAATACTTGGTTACATAAATTATTAACTGATTACATGTTATAACTTTTTAAATCAAATCGCACAAATGCTTTTACTTAAATTTCGGCTTGCTGCCGGCGTTGACAAGATTTTTTGATGTGAGTTGTTTCACTGACAAAATGAAAGTGTGAAATTTTTCTCCGATACAATCCCGCCAGCCAGCGGCAGTTTTACCGCCTTTTTTCTCATTGGCCGTCCCAGATCACATGATTGCGTACGTGATAATATTAACTGTTTGCGAAAACACAGGTGTCTTTGCGACATAGCAGGTGTTTGGCGGTCATTTGAAAGTCAAGCGTGTTGTCTCAAGTTTAGATAATTAGTTTATACAGGGAGTGACTATTCAGTACTTTATTATTTTTGTTTGCTAAAAGCGGAGGTTTATACAGGGAGTGTCTACCTAGTATTTAGCAGATAGGACATGTTGAATGTAATTTCAACACAGGGCATGGCTGTTTTCAAATGTACATTAAAAGGATAGAGAAGAGCCAAAGGGACGAGTGTCGTTACTGCCAGGGAAATATGGAAGACTCAGCAGAACACACAATCTTGACACTGTCAAAAGTGGCAAATATGGAGGGCAGAAGTGTACGATAGAGAGGGAGAACTAAATCCTGAAAACATAATAGAAAAGATGTGTAATAGTAAAGAAAGCTGGGATCGTAAAAGTAATGGAAGAAAAAGAGGAGGAAGAAAGACGAACACAGATGGAGTAAGACAACCGAGACACCATGATGTTATATCCTTCTAGGATGGTCCCGTGGTGTCTTGAGGGCGACAGGTAGGGTTTTAGTTAGGGTAGGAGTCCCACACTCTCCGGCGCGATAGACAACGATAGCCCAAGCGTCGGAGGTCGGCCATGAGCTTTCCCCACCTAAAAAAAAGGTTAGGTTAGGTTCCACTCCTAGGAGCTGTAAGACCTTACCGTTGGTGAAGTGGTTCAGTAGCTCCCTGTTCTCGAGCGACCTACCTATGGGAACGGGTAGTGAAGCCGACAAACAGCTAAAAACGGTCGGTGGGGCACTGGTGGGATCACTTATGCCGATAACGTGACACCAATAAATGCCAGTCTTAAGAACACTACGCCCAGCTAACAAAAGCCAACCGACCCAGACCCAGAAGGAAAACCCTGACAGAAAAACCAAAAACGGAATCTAACCCTGGGAAACTGCGGGGATGGATGAATGGCCCCTCGAAGAGGGTCGCGAGCAGCCCCCTGGCGCCATGGCGAGGGCGTGCAGGGTTGCCGGAGGTTTAACACCAATGGAAGGCCTTAGCAGTGCAAGGGAGTACTACACTGCCGGACACCAAGTCTACCCAACTCGTGGGATAAGAATATAAGCAATACAATCGACCTTACAATAAATGTATCGGGGGGGGGGGGGGGAATCAGACCGATGCAGGTACTAATACCTGGAACAACACCGAAAAGATTTAAGGAAAACGACCAGACTGGCCACACAGACCCTTTTAAAAGACGTGATTCATTAAAAAGAACACCACCAAAGATGGCAGATTTTTCTTGTGGAAATGAAAACGAGATCTCTGATATACCGGCAGACATAAATAAACATAAACAGAGCACGGAGACATGGGATTTCAGGGTGGGCTCTGATAACGATCTAAACTCAATGTTCCTAAAAGAAAACGATAAAACTCCGAACGGAAGCGACACAGCAAATTTGAGACAGAAGAGACAAAGAAGCCCGGAAGAACAGGAGCAAACCAAGTATGCTGAAATACCAAAAAATGGAGGAATTGCAGAAGGTTGCAATCACACTGTACGACCTGACTATAAGCTACTTAAACACAAAAGTGGAAATTAAATATGGAGTAAAGGACCTCAAAAGAAAAATGGAAAGGTAAAATATCAAAATTACGGATTATGAAGAATACATCACCACCGAGCACAGTAATAAAGCAAGTCGAAGAGACGAACCAGAACCTCCAAGAAAGGAGATGAAATCCTGCGAAACGCAAGTCAACCAAAACATGATCGAAGAGGAGATGCGAGCCACAGTAAAGGAAGAAGAAAAGAGATGTGAAGAGCAATTACATAAGAGAGAAAGCTGGAAAGGAATGAAAAAATCATTGACATGACATGGCCGGAAAGGCTCTACACCAACACGAAGGTTTCCCAAGATAGAACCCAAATGGACTCTGGCGACATGGTTGTACTCGTTGACCCAAACAAAGAAATAGAGACAAACCTGGCAAGAGAAGTCGGCACACGTTTCGCCGATATCAGACCGCTTCTAAAAAATGGAATCAAGGAACTGGAGCAACTAAGGAAGACAATGGAAACGATCAGGGAAAACGGATGGAATTAACGAGCTACCTATGGGTGGTTCCCCTAATCTCAGACTATGAGGCGAAGTCTCTATATAAAAGCATAGAGGAAGTTAAAAAAAGAATAGGAGAAAACGCAAACAGGAGGATAAATATGATCAGCACGGAACATACAGAAGACAGATATATTAGAAAGTGCGCGGAGGAAGTCTTCCACAACACAGAGACACACATCACGATATGGAACAAAAGACCGCAAAAAGCTAACCAGGAACAAACAAAAAAAATGATCTTGAGAACAGACGAAAAGGAGTACGCTAGTGCGTTAAGTATCAGGGAAACAGTTAACCTAAATAGCCCAGGGGTAGAATTAAAAAATATAAAAAGACAGCAAAAGGAGATGTGCTTCTAGAGGTAATGGGGGGAAAGGAGAAAGTACGGGCAATTAAGGGGAATTCTCATCTCTGGGTGCGGTTCCAAAATGACATACTAAGTTAATTTATTCTTATTCAATTTTAAATTAGTTTTACACATTAAATGTTCATTGCTTTTTAATCAAATACCACCTTTTATATATCCATTTTTTTTAAAACAATTTGACAGCTCGAAATATTTTTTTTTTATTTTTTTATTAAATGTAAATTATAGTTAATTTTAAAAATTTTGTCCTGGACTATTGACCTCTGTACTATATTCCTTAAAATTTGAGATTGAAATAAATTTGTTACCAATCACAACTATTTTATTTCATTAATAACTGTAAAATAACCCAACAAAATTCTGGATGA